CCCATATCCATCACCTTGGATCCATCCAGACCCCATATCCACCATCATCATAGGGTCTACACCCCATATCCATCATCTGTGTTGAGTCCAGATCCCATATCCATCATCATCATAGGGTCCATGCCCCATATCCACCATCATCATAGGGTCCACACCCCATATCCACCATCTGGGTTGAGTCCAGACCCCATATCCATCATCTGGGTTGAGTCCAGACCCCATATCCACCATCATCATAGGGTCCACACCCCATATCCATCATCTGGGTTGAGTCCAGACCCCATATCCACCATCATCATAGGGTCCACACCCCATATCCATCATCTGGGTTGAGTCCTGACCCCATATCCACCATCATCATAGGGTCCAGACCCCATATCCATCATCTAGGTTGAGTTCAGACCCCATATCCATCATCATTATAGGGTCCACACCCCATATCCATCACCTTGGATCCATCCAGACCCCATATCCACCATCATCATAGGGCAAAGACCCCATATCCATCATCTGTGTTGAGTCCAGACCCCATATCCACCATCATCATAGGGTCTACACCCCATATCCACCATCTGGGTTGAGTCCAGACCCCATATCCACCATCATCATAGGGTCCACACCCCATACCCACCATCATCATAGGGTCCATGCCCCATATCCACCACCATCATACCCCCCACCCCCCACCCCCCCAAACCCCCCCCCAACCTCACACCCCCCCCCCTCCGCTCCCCCCCTCTGCCCCATTGGCCTCCAAGACGTTCTCGGCCGTCGTCTTGCCGTGCTGCTCCTTGAGGTGCCTCCGGATGGCCGGCTTGTGAGCGAATCGAACGTCGCAGTAGGAGCACCGGTAGGGCCGTTGCCCGCTGTGGAGGTTCATGTGATCGTGAAGGGTGGACTTCTGCGTGAAGCTCTTCCCGCACAACCCGCACGCGTGCGACTTGACGCCGCGGTGCACGTTCATGTGCCGGTTCAGGTTGCTGCTGTGGTTGAATTGCTTCCCGCACCGCGGGCACATGAACACCAAGTGTTGAGCCCGCATGTGGAACACCAACTTCTCTACGCCGTGGAAGGCCTCGGAGCACTTGGAGCAGCGCGACGGCGGAGACGCCGGCGTTGACATCGGCGCCGTCGAGCCCGCGGGCGCGCCCAAGGACGCCGACGTTGAGGCCATCGATGCGCCCATCGACGCGCCCATCGACGCCGTTGACGCGCCCATCGACGCCGTTGACGTCCCCATCGACGCCGTTGACGCGCCCATTGACGCACCCATCGATGCGCTCATCGACGCCGTTGACGCGCCCATCGACGCCGTTGACGTGCCCATTGACGCGCCCATTGACGCGCCCATTGACGCGCTCATTGACGCCGTTGACGCGCCCATTGACGCAGTTGACGTCGCCATCGACACCAAGGCGCCCACCGACGCCGCCGCCGCCGTAGAAGACCCCCCGGACGCTCCCATTGACGCCGTCGACGTCCCCATGGACACCAAAGCCCCCACGGACGCTCCCATGGAGCCAGTTGAGGCCGCCGTCGCCACCGTCGACTCCCCCACGGCCGGCGGCCCCACCACCAGCCCCACGGCCACCGCCTCGTCCACGCCGACGCCGGGGAAGATGACGACGCCGTCGCCGTCGCCTTCGCCCGCCAGGCTGTACCGCGCCTTCACCACGCCGACGGCTCCTCCTCCTCCTCCTCCTCCTCCTCTCCGTGCCCAACGGTGCCGTCGGCGCGGCGCCGGCTCCACCTTCACGATGCAGACGTCGCCGTCGTTGTCGCCGTCGCCATCGCCATCGCCATCGTCATCGTCTTCCTCTTCGTCGTCCTCCTCGGGCTTGGCGGGCGGCGCGGCGGCGATGAAGCGAGCCAGGGCGCCGCGGCAACGCTCTACCACGTGTTCCATCTGCAAGTAGCTGGCGGCCGTCAGGTAGTTGACGAGCTCTCGGCCCCGGAACTGGAGGGCGCCGGTGTAACACGAGAGCAAGAGATCGGCCAAGACGCGGGCGCTGTGAGCCAACGAGACGCGGAGCTCGGCGCCGGGGTGAAGGAGGAATTGGTCACGGAGGAACGGCGAGCAAGCGGCCAAGATGACGCGGTGGCCCCGGAAACGGAGGCTCCGCGCCACGATGGTGACGTCGCAGAAGCGCTCTTCGGCACGCAGGCGGGTGATGCTGCGCAACGCCGCCGCTTCGTGGCCCGGCAGGTGGAAGCGGAGGAGTTCGGCGCAGGAGGACATGGTTTTTTTTTGGGGGGGGGTGATTGGGGGCGATTGGGGGCAATGGGGGGCAATGGGGGGCAATGGGGGTCAACGGGACTCAATGGAAGTCAATGGGAGTCAATAAGGGCAATGGGGGTCAATGAGAGTCAATGGGAGTCAACACGGGTCAATGGGACTCAATGGAAGTCAATGGGAGTCAATAAGGGCAATGGGGGTCAATGAGAGTCAATGGGTCAATGGGGGGCAGTGGGGGTCAATGGGGGTCAATGGGAGTCAACGGGAGTCAATGGGGGCAATGGAGGGCAACGGGAGTCAATAGGGGCAATGGGGGCAATGGGAGTCAATGGGGGGCAATGAGGAGCAATGGGAGTCAATGGGAGTCAATGGGGTCAATGGGCGTCAATGGGAGTCAATAGGGGCAATGGGGGTCAATGGGCCTCAATGGGGGGCAATGGGGGCAATGGGAGTCAATGGGAGTCAATGGTGGTCAATGGGAGTCAATGGGGGGCAATGGGGGTCAATGGGGGTCAATGGGGTCAATGGGAGTCAATGGGGGTCAATGGGCCTCAATGGGGGGCAATGGGTGTCAATGGGAGTCAATGGGAGTCAATGGGGGTCAATGGGGTCAATGGGAGTCAATGGGGCAATGGGGGGAATGGGGATCAATGGGGGTAATGGGGATAATGGGAGTCAGTGGGGGGAATGGGGTAGTGGGGGTCAATGGGAGTCAATGGGGGCCAATGGGGTCAATGGGAATCAACGGGAATCAATGGGGGCAATAGGGGTCAATGTGGGCCAATGGGGATCAATGGGAGTCAATGGGGGCAATAGGGGTAATGGGGGCTACTGGGAGCAATGGGGGCTATGGGGGCAATGGGGATCCGTGGGGGTCAATAGGGGGCAATGGGGCCAATGGGGATCAATGGGGATCAATGGGGGCAATGGGGGTCAATGGGGGCAATGGGGGTCAATGGGGATCAATGGGGATCAATGGGGGCAATAGGGATCAATGGGAATCAATGGGGGGCAATGGGGGCAATGGGTGGGTACAGGGGCAACGTGGGGTGTATTGAGGGGTTATTGGGGGGTATTGAGGGGACTGGGAGGCACTGGGAGCACTGGGGGGGTACTGGGAGCACCAGGATTGGTCAATGGGAGCACTGGGATCACTGGGATTGGTCAATGGGAGCACTGGGAGCACTGGGATTGGTCAATGGGAGCACTGGGATTGGTCAATGGGAGCACTGGGATTGGTCAATGGGAGCACTGGGAGCACTGGGATTGGTCAATGGGAGCACTGGGATTGGTCAATGGGAGCCCCGCGATTGGTCAATGGGAGCACTGGGATTGGTCAATGGGAGCACTGGGAGCACTGGGATTGGTCAATGGGAGCACTGGGATTGGTCAATGGGAGCCCCGCGATTGGTCAATGGGAGCACTGGGATTGGTCAATGGGAGCAATGGGAGCACTGGGATTGGTCAATGGGAGCACTGGGATTGGTCAATGGGAGCCCCGCGATTGGTCAATGGGAGCACTGGGATTGGTCAATGGGAGCACTGGGATTGGTCAATGGGAGCACTGGGAGCACTGGGATTGGTCAATGGGAGCACTGGGATTGCTCAATGGGAGCACTGGGATTGGTCAATGGGAGCACTGGGATTGGTCAATGGGAGCACTGGGATTGGTCAATGGGAGCACTGGGATTGGTCAATGGGAGCACTGGGATTGGTCAATGGGAGCACTGGGATTGGTCAATGGGAGCCCCGCGATTGGTCAATGGGAGCACTGGGATTGGTCAATGGGAGCCCCGCGATTGGTCAATGGGAGCACTGGGATTGGTCAATGGGAGCCCTGGGAGCCCCGCGATTGGTCAATGCTGGGGGTCACCGAGGTCACGATGGGGGTGCTGGGGGAGGGGGGGGCGGGGGGGGGCTCTCACGTGGCTGCACCTGGGGGGGGGAGGGAGGGAAAAGTGGGGGGGGGGGAGGGGGTCACACACACACAAAACGCCGTCATGACGTCATCACGCACGCACCGAGCGCCCCCCCCCCCTTAAATCCCCCTCCCCCCCACCCCCTCCCCCCACATTGACCCACGCGGGGCCCCCCCCAACCCCCATTGGTTCCCCCCCCCCCATCTCGGTGCTGTCCCCGCCCCCCTCCCCCCCCACCCCCCCATTGACCCCATTCCCCTCCCCCCCCCATTCCCCTCCCCCTCCCCCCTTTTCCCCTTTCCCCCGTTCCCCTCCCCCCTCCGTTACCGCCTCGAGCGCCGCCGGGCGCGCGCCAGCGCCGGTTGAGGGGGGGGAGGGGAAGGGGGGGGTGGGGGGTGGGGAGGGGGGAGGGGCGCGGGGCATTGTGGGATCGGGAAAAGGGGGAGGGGCTTAAGGGGTAGCACCGCCCACCGGCGGGAGCCGATTGGCTCCGCTAGGAAGGGGGGAGGGAAGAGGGGGAGGGGGAGGGAGGAGGGGGAGAGGGAGGGCGCTGATTGGCTGGGGGAGGGGGGGGAGGGAGAAAGGCTCCGCCCACTGGGGGTGGGGGCGTTTAAGGTGGTTTGGGGGCGATTTAGGGCGGGTTTGGGGCGATTTAAGGTGGTTTTGGGGCGATTTAAGGCGATTTTGGGTCCATTTAAGGCGATTTTGAGGCAATTTAAGGTGATTTTGGGGCCATTTAGTGCGATTTTGGGGCCATTTAGTGCAATTTTGGGGCCATTTAAAGTGGTTTTGGGGCCATTTAAGGCGATTTTGGGTCCATTTAAGGCGATTTTCGGGCCATTTAATGCAATTTTGGGTCCATTTAGTGCGATTTTGGGTCCATTAAAGGCAGTTTTGGGTCCATTTAATGCAATTTTGGGTCCATTCAATGCGATTTTGGGTCCATTTCAGGTGATTTTGGGGCCATTTCAGGTGATTTTGGGGCCATTTCAGGTGATTTTGGGTCCATTTAAGGCGATTTTGGGGCCATTTAGTGCGATTTTGGGGCCATTTAAAGTGGTTTTGGGTCCATTTAAGGCGATTTTGGGTCCATTTAAGGCGATTTTGGGGCAATTTAGTGCGATTTTTGGGCCATTTAAAGTGGTTTTGGGGGCATTTCAGGGGATTTTGGGTCCATTTCAGGGGATTTTGGGGCCATTAAATGCAATTTTGGGTCCACTTAAGGTGATTTTGGGTCCATTTAAGGCAGTTTGGGGTCCATTTCAGGGGATTTGGGGGGCATTTAATGCGATTTTGGGTCCATTTCAGGTGATTTTGGGGCCATTTAAAGTGGTTTTGGGTCCATTTAATGCGATTTTGGGGCCATTTAATGCGGTTTTGGGTCCATTTCAGGGGATTTTGAGTCCATTTCAGGTGATTTTGGGTCCATTTAGTGCGATTTTGGGTCCATTTCAGGGGATTTTGGGTCCATTTAATGCCATTTTGGGTCCATTTCAGGGGATTTGGGGGGCATTTAATGCGATTTTGGGGCCATTTCAGGTGATTTTGGGTCCATTTAAGGTGGTTTTGGGGCCATTTAATGCCATTTTGGGTCCATTTCAGGTGATTTTGGGGCCATTCAATGCAATTTTGGATCCACTTAAGGTGATTTTGGGTCCATTTAAGGCAGTTTGGGGTCCATTTAATGCGATTTTGGGTCCATGTCAGGGGATTTTGGGTCCATTTAGTGCGATTTTGGGGCCCTTTCAGGTGATTTTGGGTCCATTTAAGGTGATTTTGGGGCCATTTAAGGTGATTTTGGGGCCATTTAATGCAATTTTGGGTCCATTTCAGGTGATTTTGGGACCATTTAAGGTGATTTTGGGGCCATTTAATGCAATTTTGGGTCCATTTCAGGTGATTTGGGGACCATTTAATGCGATTTTGGGTCCATTAAAGGCAGTTTTGGGTCCATTTAATGCAATTTTGGGTCCATTCAATGCGATTTTGGGTCCATTCAATGCGATTTTGGGGCCATTTCAGGGGATTTTGGGGCCATTTCAGGGGATTTTGGGTCCATTTAATGCCATTTTGAGTCCATTTAATGCAATTTTGGGTCCATTTAATGCCATTTTGGGTCCATTCAATGCAATTTTGGGTCCATTTAATGCAATTTTGGGTCCATTTCAGGGGATTTTGGGTCCATTCAATGCAATTTTGGGTCCATTTCAGGTGATTTTGGGGGCATTTCTGGGGATTTTGGGGCCATTTAGTGCGATTTTGGGGCCTTTTAATGCAATTTTGGGTCCATTCAATGCAATTTTGGGTCCATTTCAGGTGATTTTGGGTCCATTTCAGGGGATTTTGGGTCCATTTCAGGGGATTTTGGGTCCATTTCAGGTGATTTTGGGTCCATGTAATGCCATTTTGGGTCCATTTCAGGTGATTTTGGGGCCATTCAATGCAGTTTTGGGTCCACTTAAGGTGATTTTGGGTCCATTTAAGGCAGTTTGGGGTCCATTTAATGCAATTTTGGGGCCATTTCAGGTGATTTTGGGTCCATTTAATGCAATTTTGGGTCCATTTAATGCAATTTTGGGTCCATTTAATGCAATTTTGGGTCCATTTCAGGGGATTTTGGGTCCATTTCAGGGGATTTTGGTTCCATTTCAGGGGATTTTGGGGCCATTTCAGGTGATTTTGGGTCCATTCAATGCAATTTTGGGGCCATTTACTGCAATTTTGGGTCCATTCAATGCAATTTTGGGGCCATTTCAGGTGATTTTGGGTCCCTTTAATGCAATTTTGGGGCCATTTCAGGTGATTTTGGGTCCATTCAATGCAATTTTGGGTACATTCAATGCGATTTTGGGTCCATTTCAGATGATTTTGGGTGCATTCAATGCAATTTTGGGTCCATTCAATGCAATTTTGGGTCCATTTAATGCGATTTTGGGTCCATTTCAGATGATTTTGGGTGCATTCAATGCAATTTTGGGTCCATTCAATGCAATTTTGGGTCCATTTAATGCAATTTTGGGTCCATTCAATGCAATTTTGGGGCCATTTCAGGTGATTTTGGGTCCATTCAATGCAATTTTGGGG